AATTGATATTGATATTTTAGACTGACCGGAGGCCGTATTTCTACAGAGACGACTCAGTGTGACGATACGGTTGCGATAGGCACGAGTGCTGGCAACACGAACCAGAATGACAATGCGATTGCTATAGGGTACAATGCCGGTCAGACGGACCAGATGGGGTCAGCGATTACCATAGGGTCGGATGCGGGGAAGGTGTCCCAGGGTAATGGCGTTACCATCGGAACCATGGCCGGCCGTACCAGCCAAGGTACACACGCCGTCGCAATATGTGAGGGTGCAATGTACGAAAACGGAGGGCAATATTCGGTGGCCGTAGGTATGTCGGCGTGTTATTCAGGAGACGGCGGAAACTGTGTAGCTATAGGGCACGGAGCGCTTGAGTTTAACGGGGCGACAAAGAAGTACGTGGTCGCACTGGGTGCACTGGCAATCAATACGGTGTCGTCCAACAACACAATTACATTGAACGCAACGGCCGCGGACCTACCAAATGCGGTACCCGATTCGTTTATGGTCAAGCCGGTCTGGAACGCGGCGGGACCCAACGCGCTAACGTACAACCCCGCAACAGGTGAAATCACGTACACGACCTCGAGTCTGGACACCAAGGAAAACATTAAGGAACATTGGGGAGGTACTGGAAAAGCTGGTCGTCAAGGAATTCAACTTTAAGAACAAGAACAAGTACACCCAATTCGACACGGTCGACTAGGAATCCATCCTGTCGTTTGACGCGTGGGTGGAAGCCAACGAGGAGAAAGTGTTAGTCGTCGAGGATGGGTCCGATGAACAACAGACGGTTGTGACGGAACAGTACCAGATGTACAGAAAGAGGGCCATGGTGGGTGAGTGCCGTGTCGTTGACAAGGAGGAGACACACTTTGGATTTATCGCTGGAGAAGTCCAGGAAATCATGCCCGAGCTCGTGTTCGACGATATCGACGGTGTGGCGCTGGATATCAAATGGAACAATCTGACGGCCATACTGGTAAAACGGAACCAGCAGTTAACAGCACAGCTAGCAACTCTCGAGGCCCGGTGCGTGGACTTGGAAACCGCAAACCCCTAAAAAAACACAACCCCTAAAAAAATATAAATTACATAATTTTTAAATTACATAGTTTTTAAATTATATTATTTGAAAATTACATTGTTTTTAATCGTTACATTTCAGACGTGAAGTAGAAATGTAACTTGGACAAAAAAAAATCTAGAAAAATGAAACAATGTACACATGTCACAATCCGGAAATCTACTGGTGCTGGCAGATATTCGGTGAAATAAAACACTAGCAATAAATTATGCGATTGACTACAGGGTCAACCAATGTCCACCTCGGCCGGAAGGCCGGTGAAACCAACCAGTCAGTGTCGGGGATCGCCGTTGGGAATAGTGCGGGTAGCCTGAACCAGTCTGGTAATGCCACGGCTATTGGGAAGGGGGCTGGTCGCAACGAACAGGCCACAAATTCCATAGCCGTAGGATACAGGGCCGATGAGACGAACCAGAGTGAAAACACAACCGCCGTGGGTCGGGATGCGGGGCGCGCCAACCAGGGCCAATACGCAGTAGCCATTGGCCGTTGTGACATATATGTTCATATTATCTGCGACGTGCACCGATGTTCTGATTTTCATCCATTTAAATACAATCGTTTTCCACGTCTTGCAGCTCCACAGATACTCCATCCATCGCTCCGGAGTTGGTATTGTAATAAGCCAGGCCTCCACATTAGACTCTATGTTATAAACGTACTCTTAAGCAGTACTTAAAATATAAACGTACTCTTAATAGTACGAGGAACTTAAGTTTCCTAAATTGGGTTTTAATGTTCTTATTAATTAATACCTTTTCCATTTTACATATCAGATATTTGGATGAGGCCATTAAAAGGCCTCAGTAAAATACCAAACAAAAAGAGTTGGTCTAGTTCTATTAATAGAACTTTTTTTTACTTTCCAATTTTATTTATATCTGAATACTTCGGTAGCGAGATGGTTCAATCGAATATAGGTTTCTAGGGACTATTAACGTTACCTAGTTGATCCTCCGATCAGCCAACCAGATCAACGAAACACTAAATAAAATCCCTTCGGCGGATACAGTACTGAGAGGATTATATATAGGCAATGTCTCAGCCTCACAATCCCTCAGAGTATTGCTGTTTTCACGAGGCATACCTAACTTTACTAAACGTCTCATTTCGTTTATTTACCTTGATATTTACACGATACTTAAAATTTGCCTACGCGTTTATTTATTCTAAGCCATTAGTATCGCCTTTATTAGACCGAATCTTACA